AGTATATAGGTATTTTATCACTTCAAATCAAGCCACGTGCTTAAAACAACGATTTCAAATAAAATCTGTCCTTTGAAAGAATTAAACGGAACTCGATAAACGCGAGCGAACGCGTTCAATTTTATTTTAATCATGTACTAGTTTCTATCGCGTTTAATTACCTATGGATGAAAGACGGTTTCGGGAAAAAAACTATAGTAACGCGGACATGATATAGCTTAGTTTCATTTACTCTCGCTGCGAGAAAACTGGAGAGACTGAAAAGTTCGAACTGCCATATAATTATTATCGAGTACTTACTTTATATTTGTAAAAAAATTTACAATATTATGTGCACGATTTCGTATTGAGATAAACGATCTTTTTGAGAAAAATCTGAGAAAACATCAGATTGATCTGAGATTTATTTCCTTGTATTTGCTCCAAATTAAAGGAGAAATCTAACATTTCTCGATACAACACAACTCAACGTGGAATAATTACACACACACACACACACACACAATTAGACGCTAAACGTTGCGGGAATGGATTTAGAATAAGAGAGAATAAATTCAAGTGTAACATTAAATTAAATTTTGATAGAATTATATGAATTAACGCTGTGACGCTTTTGCATGCGCCCTGTTATGTTATGCCATTAATACGAAGCAAATTGGATATTGCATTAATTTGTGCACACAAGTACAGGAGGAATTTGATTAGTTTGAAAAAGTAGATTACGTCACACGAAACAAACGAAATAAGCGCAATGTGTGAGATTAAATTATACAACATTGAATTTATTTCAACCAGCGGAAGAAAAAATTACGTTATGTATATATATATATATATATATATATGTGTGTTACAAAATAATTGATTTAATAATTTATAAATATCTCTGTGTTATATTTTGTTCATAATAAATATAAATTAAAAATTTTTTGTAATATTGTATCGGTCATTAATATTTTTGTTTCGTTCATCGAAAATAATTTGAGTTACAATACATATGTATACATATAATGCATGATTAATTTCTTTATTGAAATAATTAAAGAATTATAACATTAACTTTACGAAAAATTAGTTATACTAAAAATATATTTTTCAGAATAATTAATGCTATATAAAATAGCAAAAAGATTGTTTAGATTTTTAGATCGTGAAAATGTTGCAGAAAGTAAAGAAATTAATATTAACTTCTGTAACTTTTATTTCATAAAGTCACTCACTCTCATAAAGTCAAATTGAATTTTCCTTTCGTGGGGGTTTACTCTGAAATTACTAAAAGACGACACTAAAATGCTAATTATATGTGGCACAAAGTTCATCCGCCGGTATGCACTCCTTTGAAAAATCTCCTTTATAATACGACATAAGTCATTCAGGTATATATGGGAACGAAGTACACCATAATTCCCATCTGTGCTATTAACTTAATATTACACGAATTCATCATACATAAATATGCGTTAGAAATATGTCTAGTGTGTGTGTGTATGTTTAAAGCTTATCTTCTTTTAAAAAATATATTAAAATGAGATGTTTTTGTAATTAGATCTCCGTATATTCGCTAAGCCAAACATTTATTCAATGTTTAAAACATTTTATCACTCAAATATAGAATTATCCAGTGATATTAAGATATTTTTATTTGATAAAATAAAGCAATCTGCATTTTTTCTGAATTTAAATATTCCGATGATTTAATGCAACAAAAAACTCAGAGGAATTAAAAAAAATTATGATCGTGCATTTGCGAAAAAAGAACTGTACGACGTATTAAATTAAAAAATTAAAGAATGAATATTTTTGGATGCGCCCGCTCTTAAATGCTTTTGTCTTTGAACAAAAGTCTATATATATACGCACGATACGGCATATGCGTCGATACAACAAGTTGCGTGCACGCATGGTTGCGTGCGCGAAACGGGCGTGACACCTCCAGACACGAGATATGTATTAATACAATGACGATCTTGACTGATTTAAATGACGCTTTTAAATAGACAGAGTAGATTTAAATAGCGGCCGTATATACTGATGATCGTTATGTACACCTGGTGTAATAAAACCGAGAAAATGCATTTTGCTCGTGAAATTAAAGCGAAAAATCGATATCGGCTATGCCTATATAAATAGATTATTTATCGTATGTGGGAGATATCTCGCATGACTGGGTCGCGATCCTAAATTTTCGTAAGCTAATGTCATTAATGCCACGATTGAAACGCCCACAATATCGAGTAATATACGGCATGACAAATACTAAATTTCCGAATTGTTTACTTACGCGTTTACTTACGCGTTCATGTCCGTTAATAACTGTTTATATGCGACAAAAACCTGCATTTTCGCAGAAACTTTAGTTAATATTATTTGCATCGCTATCGAAAATTTTCTATTAAATTAATAGATAATATTATTAAAATCTCCACATTGAATTCTGAACAGTGCAGCTAAAATTTTGATGAACATAGATTAATATTAACGCTCTATTGAAGCTGTTAATTTGTAATGTAACAAATATTAAATTCTTTAATGAATTAATATTATTAAAATAATGTTTAAAGCACAAAATTATATCCAACTAAATAAATCCAAATTTTGGTGCAGTTAATTAAAATAATGTATAAATATTATGTAACACATCTTAAAAAATGTTTCTTACATATTTTTAAGTCACAGCTCTATTACACAAGGAGTAATTAACGTGTATTCATCAGTATAATTGTCGATGACCGTATCCATAGCTGATCATTTTCGAATTACAAACGACCGATTAATGCGACAATGATACGGTCGGAATATGTAAATTGTTTACATTGTTACTTTGTCGTGTATAGGACGTTTTATTATACAGAAGTGGCTGCTTCAAAATTGCATTATTGTTACATGATGCACTGTTAATTATTACTGTGAGTAATGGAACGATATTAATAGAGATGCGTTGTTACACTAGATGATTGTAATAAAATTGTAAAGAGAGAAAGAGATGCAAACAGCAAGATAAGGAAAGAGAACATAAATCTCAGAGAATCAAACTTCTCCGAGAAAAAAAATCAACGAGAATGCAAAATAATATACATATATATAATATGCAGTTGTGAAAAAAATGGCAAAATTAATTTAGATTAGTTCATCTCGAAATAGCCTTGTTGTAGCTTTTAATTGTAGAATGAATTTGAGTTCTTTACATGTGCAGTTGCATTTATGTAATAAGCTGAATGTACAAAAAAAAACCATGTTTTTTTTTAAACAAGATCCGACATTTACGATGTCTTTCTCATAGTATGCTATTGCTGCGAAAAACGTGTAGTAAACATATTTTTTGTTTTGCGATAAAAACTTGTGACATTTCTCCGAACCTTGAATAAATCGCTCCGAAGCAAAAAATACAGCTATGCAACGTAGAATCAAATCGATCGGTGTATCGAGGACTACCTCGAGTTGCCTCTTTTATACGGCCCACGGTTTCTCATCACACATATTAAAATGCCTACACACATGCGACGTGATATATATTCGAGGGGGTGTTAAATATTCCAGCAGAATGATACATCGAAACGTCACGCATATCTCTTTGCATCGTCGAGTGTCGGTTTCGAAAAATTATGCAATTTACGGTGGTAATTTGAATGAATGGGAAATAAATCACTTGGAAAATCAATTATTTGATCAGCGTCGATATACATACCTTCAAATTTCTTTATCATCCTTTTAATGTGATTTGCTTTCGTTGATCAAAATAAATAAGATCCATCTTTTTCAATATTACAAATATTGATTTAATAATTTGTAAATATCTCTGTGTTATATTTTCAATATTACATATTCGGATTTAAACGTTCTCGAAAAATATTCATGATAATTTATAATATTAATATAAATATACAGAGAGAATTTCCTCTTAGAATTTATCCTGAAAATCATAGTAAATATCATGGAATAATGTGATATTTTGGAAGTATTTTTTCAGAATTTTTCTCTAATCAATATTTACTACAATAAAAAATATTAATATGTACATAGTAAAATTGATGGAACATATTTTATATCTTATTGTGGTAGATAGTAATATTTTTTAAATTCTTATAAAATTCTTCCAATATCATCATATTGTTCCACGATTACCATAAATTCTCTGTGTACGAATTGTTCCATATATGATATTAAAATTAAGATAAATACTTGAATAGGGATATTCCAATAAAACGATATAGATTCTCGTTAAGTCTATTTTATAGATAGATACAAAAAATTATATATATCTGCACAATATAAATCGTACGTATAGTTTTAGTAATAGTAAACCATACGAAACATTATGTATATAAAATTTATTTTATACAATATATACATATATAAAAAATATATATTATATATGCATATAAATTTAAAAATATGTATATGTGAGCAAAGAACATTTGTGTTATATTAAATGTCACAGATTAAAATTCCGCGAAACACAATCTTGCGATTTAATTTAAGAGTTTTTCTGATCAATATTTCGACCACAATAAAAAATATCAATATCCACATAGTAAAATTAATCGAACATATTTTACATCTCATTGTGGTAGACATCAATATTTATTAAAATTCTTATAAAATTCTTCCAATATCATATATTGTTCCACGATTACCAGGATTTTCCGGACAAATTCTCTCTGTATACGAATTGTGTAACCGCCGTGCGCGGCGTTCATGGTCATTGATCGGACCGCATTTGACAGCCGCCATGGCCGGGAATCGCAGCGGAACATCGGCACGTAATTTCGAAGAAAGAGAGAAAAAAAAACGAAAGGTTCGCGGCATGCATACATCGATCGCGCGCGACAGAGCGCCTCACCGCGCCTGACATTTGCCTAACTTCAAGGGTGAAAGCGGCCGCGCGCTCTCTCGCACATTCGCTACCACCGATAGCTATATTCACTCCGTAGAAAAAAACGGAGCAAAAAAGAAGAAAAAATGCGGGAACACGCGGCGGGACCAACGAGAGACAGAATTCTTACCTGCACCCGGCAGAGTGACAGGACGCCGAGCAGTGCGGCCAGCGCCAGCATCCCCTTCATCTCTTCTTCCTCTTCCCGGCCCACCTACAGTCCCACGTCCTCTCGTTGAGAATGCCCGCTTCGAGGATACTCGGCGAGAGTTTCTCCGCAAAATCCGGCGGAGAGGATCCGTCACCCGGTCTCTCCTCTCTTTCCTGCGACGAGAAGGAGAAACGTTTGTTTCGTCAACGACGATTGGAGATGAAAAAAACGGGATTTTTCGTCCGCGTTCGGTTTTATATATGCGACGCACGATAATTCCACTCGTCGTATATCACGGTGAGCGCAGCGAAACTACTACTGTCCGCCGCTGTGGCTGGGTGGGTCGCTCGCTCGCCGCGAAAGCAAGATGGCGGTGCGCGTCGGCGGCGGCGCGGCCGGCCAATCGCGTCGCGCCGTCCGCTCGGCGACGCGCGCGCATGCGCGCCGCGGTCAGTCGATAACGTGGCGGGAACGCCGCGGGTTCAAACGACGTGTCGCGCTCCATCCGAAATCGACAATTCTCGCAATTGGATTAACTAATTAACACCCGTTGACTGCCGGATTGACTCTGTTAAAACGTAATTGGAAACGATATGCCCGATGTTGCGATAAATAAATACGTTTCGTCACGAATATGTATATATATACCTGATTTTCATTTTTCGGCGTATGATAAGTTGTGTAAAAGATGGCTTATTTAATTCGTCGGTTCTTCAATCGAGGTCGAGAAAATGTGCTCGTTTCTATTGGAGAATGTATCGGGAGATTCCACGAAAATATATTTATAAAAATATGATGGAAAAGAAATTTTATAAATGTAACAGATATTAATTGAATTAACGAGAAAAATATTTACCAGGAAAATGTAATTCTATATTTTTGAATAATCGGATGATGTTTAATTATATCAGCTTGCTATCATCGTTATCGTTTTTCAATAAAACCAATAAACATATGAATATCCCTAATTGAAGAATTCAATTCCGCGAAAAGGATATTCGCGAGAGAGATATGAAATGTATTAATGATACAATTTTATTCTTCTCGATTTCTTCCTTTCTTATTTTGATAGGATTATTTTTCCAGATTATATTCTCTCTTTCATGTATATATAATTTTATATTTTTGTACTATAATAGTGAAAATATTGAAAATTGATATTGGAAATTGGCGTTGAATCCATTCGTGTGTGTGCACAGAATTAATTATAAATTTTAATTTCCAACAAATTTCCAATTCGCGCGTCGATATCTTTGATTTATTCGAACTTTGACGTTCATTATGTGATGCAGTATGTCCTGTTTATCGTTGCAATAAATCGCATTCGATGTTCAAGTAGCGCGATGATGCGTGCATTTAATGAGTTTATTTGTGGTTCTAAATTACAGAGGCACAAGAGAGAGACCGCAATTGTTATTGCTAAAATTACGAAAATCTCTGAATTCGTGAGTCCGCATACATGTGGGCCAAATATCCCAAATAAAATTATTACTAACTTTGTTTCCTGCGTAATTGAAGCGCTTCCCGGAATAATGTTGTTGTCTGTGCCATTTTCCAAACTTTAGAGAAATTAATAAAACCATTTGTTTCATGGAATATTTAACGAAGTGGCTAAATTGTGCCCGATAACACGTTATAATGCATTATTTATATACATTTCAATAAAAACAAATTTAGAATGTATGCGAAATATTTTCAAGCTGAGAGATATGAAACTTATCTATATATAAAAACAGAAAAAAAATTAGCTACTATATAGCTAAATTTTAGCTGTCCCTATATTACATATAAAATTTAATTATCATGTCTAAATTTTAGCTACGATAGCTAATATTTTTTAATAGCATTCTCCGTTAAACTACATCTAAAAAAATATTAATTACCATACAAACTACAATTTAGGCATGATAACTTTTCAGATTGTAATATATGCACTGAAAAAAAAAATGTGTTAACTTGACTAAACCTTTCAACTAAATGACTATTTTGTTAATTGAACATATTTTAGTATTTAAATCAAATATACGTTTTGTTCGATTGAATATGATATTTAATTTAAATATTTGTACATGTTCAATTAACAAAATAATATTCCAATCGACAAATTGTTTTCAGCGTGGACAGTTAAAATTTTGCTACGGTATAGGTAATTTTTTCTGCGAATAAAAGACTCCTTCTCCATCTGTATACATCGGTTTGATTGTAAAAAGAAACGTAATATCAATTGCTTAGAAACACGTCGAGTTTATTCGCCTTGATTAATGCTGCATAATTCATCTACACTCGGAGCGAAACTCCGTGATTTCTACGTAATTTGGAGGAAAGAAGCGCGATCGTATAAAATGCGAGGTGCGACTCTTTTTTTGCTAATTAAAGAAGCTCTTCGTCTTTGTGCCACGCCGGAGCCAGGCGAAGGACCGAGCGAAGGCAATCGATGACGAGGGAAGCGAGAGCAGATACGCTGCAGTAAATTGATCTTCCGAACCTACGCAAGAAATCGAGGCGAGGACTTTGAGGAGGAAACGACCGGAGCGTCTTTAAAGGATGAGAAGAGAGAAAGAGGAGACAAACGCGAGAGAGAGAGAGGAGCAGAAGTTGAAATGTCTGCATCCATGACAGAATCAACAACCTGTAGATACGAACGCGGATGTCGCTATCACGCCGGCAATAAAGCAACAAAGAAGTCACGTTATTGCTCTATATGGAGGACCATCGAGAGAGCGAGGCTCAAATATTCCTATACACTGAAAAAAAAAATCCATGTACTTTTACATGGAAATTACTAGTTCAGAACTGGAAAAGTTACTTGCTCTTATCACTGTAATTTTTTTTTTTTCCATTTGTTTTAAAGTGAAAATACATATTAATGTGAAATTACTATTTTTATGCAAAAATCATATGTGATTTTAAATTTACTATTTTTACTTTATTAGAATTTTATTTTATAAGTATTTATCTATTTTCTTTATAACATTATTTTATAGCATTTATGCATTCCTAACATTTCCTATGTGTAATTACATGTTCAATGAAATATTTAAGAATATATTTCATATAAAATTACATATACAATCTGTAATCTTCCATGTAAGTATATCAATATTGCATGGGTCGGAAAAAAACCTAGCTTAATCATGTAATTTTACATAAATATTTTTTCAGTGTATGTACATTTTCTTTTAGGAGTCGAGGATTTGTTTTGCCTCGACAAGTCGCTTCTTAACTTCTTCAATTCTCCTGCCTCTTTATATGTCCCTCGCGTTCATTATTAACTCCCTTGAGAATTTTCTAAAGATAATTGGCAAAGGTAATAGAGGAGAAGAGACTTTTTCTCCAGAAAAATGATTAATAGTTGTATTAATGGTTTCTGAATTAAAACGATTACAAGCAGAAACTTTGGCGAGTTAAGGGAAGAAAGTTGATGGCGAAACCTTGTTCTTCTGGATTTTAAACCTTTAATATTTTATCTCACGGCTGAGTCATCACAGTATTTAATTATGATGTAGAAAGAGAGATGACAAATGTAACAATTCCGTATCCTATAGAAAGTTGCTGAAACTAATCAGCTATTATTTTTAAACAAAGAGTATAAGAAAATATCGTCTAATAGAAAATATTTGGCAGTTTCAGTTATGTGGAATAATCCAATGTAATCAAAACGTTTTCTATAAAAATATGTCAAAATAATCTTAATAATGTATGCACATTTTAGAAATGCGCTGTTATAATTGAAAAAACAGAAATTAAATCTTTTTCACGCTGAATGACATCTTAAAAGAGATGCATGAAGATGCATCTTTGCAATTTCGAAAGAGACTTTGGAATTTTATTGTAACGTTTTATCAAATAATTATTATATAAAAATATCTCCGATTGTCTTTAGTCCACATATAAATAATATGTAAATTAAAAAAACTACGTCAAATATCCTCTATTAGAAGATATTTTATTTTCCCTCTTTCTTATATGTGTTAAAAATTATAGCTGATTAATTTTAGGAAGTTCTCGTGAGACACTCTGTAATATTCTATGTAATATAATAATTTAGAAAATGATGGTGAATCGCTAATTAGAGAGTTACTTCATCCAAATTATATTACTGAGACTTTCATTGCAATAAAAGATAAATTTCGCCGGATTCTCGAGAATGACAAATTACAATAATAGCTCTTCCATTAATTCAAATATAATTTAACTTTTCGCACGCGCAGCCTTGTCAATCGGCTTTGAACATTAACTAAAAATGCATATTTCGTTGAGAGAGATGATTTTTTTAAAAATATAAGCCCGGGATTTTTCATAACTCGCTTTGCAAGTTAAAAAATAACGTCCACTCTTCGAATAGAAATCCGCTCAAAAATATGTTAATCCACAGCTAGGAAATTCAAAAGCTAAAACCTTAATATGCATTTAATAATTTTTATATCTCTCATTATTATGCATTATTATATTATTTTGCAAACGATCATTAATTACAAATGATCTCGACTATAGAAAAAAAAAAAAAAAAAAAAAAAGAGAAAGAAAATGATTAACAAATATTCGACCGCGGGACATTTTGGTGAAAAATTGTTGCAAAACGCGGTTAAATAAACATAACGTTATTTACAATCCTGGTAACCGAAAAAAGTGATGTTTGTCGATTCTCTCATGCGTAACTACGTGCAATCGTTACAACACGTCGTTGGTCACGGTAATTGGCTCTGCGCGTCGAAATAATAATTTTGCCATTCGATGTATCGCATTCACAGCATCGCGTCGATACGGCGCTGCATGGAATAATACGTAAACTGCGGGGAACACCGTACATTTCGGAATCAATTGCGAGCTCGAAAATTATGGCACGATATTTTATTTATTTTCCTTTTTTTTCTCTCTATTATCCTACGCCGATGGAAAGTACAGACAGAAAAAAAAAAGGGAGAAACGCGCTCTTTAATATCTTTCTCTCTCAAAGGGCAAATGACAATTATCGAACGGACAGATGCTCAAAAGACCGTGGCCTTCTGATATTGCGGTTTCTCCGAGGTACGAACTTTGTGATGAGAGTGGAAAGAGCGACCGCGTAAAATAGCGCATTAAGTTCCGGTCTGAGTGCGTCCTCCTCGCAACAGGGTGACCATTTTTCAGTGATAACGCCGGCCTCGCGATAAAACGTGGCGCGGAACAATCCGTGATATCTTCCACCGCGGACAAATGGGGCAGATGCCATTCGGACCCACCCAGATAGCGAGGGTTTCATCGCGAGCGACGTAAAGACCCGTCTTTTTTTTTTTTTTTTTTTTTTATTATTATTGTCTAAGTCCTGGTCTCACTTTCCTCTGTTGACGAATTCAACAAATTTATACTTCAATATTCTCTCTAAAATTTCACATAATATACAATAAACTGTATAAAAATATTTATTTTGAAGTGAGATCTCGCTCCAAGAAATTCAGAGAGTTATTAAACTGAAAAAGTTACAGACAAAAATATGAAAATTAAAAACAAAAGATTTTTGTCTTATATAGATTTATGTATATATTATACGGAAACAATTTACTTCAATATTCTCTCTAAAATTTCATATAATATACATAAACTATATATAAGGTAAAAATATTTGTTTTGAAGTGAGATCCAAAAAATTCAGAGAGTTATTAAACTGAAAATGTTACAGACAAAAATATGAAAATTAAAAACAAAAGATTTTTGTCTTATATAGATTTATGTATATATTATATGGAAACAATTTACTTCAATATTCTCTCTAAAATTTCATATAATATACATAAACTATATATAAGGTAAAAATATTTGTTTTGGAGTGAGATCTCACTCCAAGAAATTCAGAGAGTTATTAAACTGAAAAAGTTACAGACAAAAATATAAAAAATGAAAAAAAAAAAGATTTTTGTCTTATATTTATTTATGTATATATTATATGGAAATTTAGAGAGTTATTAAAAAAAGTTACAGATAAAAATATGAAAAATATAAAAGAAAGATTTTTCTCTTATATATAATTTATGTATATTATACGGAAGTAAAAGAGAGTCTGATGTAGAAATCGTTGAAGCGTTATGCGAGACAAACCTTTGCAATTTCACTTTTCTTATACCTTGTGTAAGCTATTCAACTAATGTAATTAATGTACTGTGTAGACTAACATCAAATGGTTCTGTAGTTTGATAATTAAGATACACTTCTCTCTTTCCTCGCTAAATTGCAGTCCTTATCGAAAGATTACAAATCCAAATAATAAAAGAAGAAAAACAGATATAAGATATATTACTAGTGTGAGATTAAACTGATGGTAGAAAAATCAATATAAGAGTCAAATATAAATATTACAAGCACACAAAAATAATTTCTTTCTTCCGTTAACTCTGACAATAAAATCTGAAGCAAGATTCGTTAGATATATGTATTTTTTCAATTTCGATATAGTGAAAAACCAAAACCCCCAAAGTGTTATATGAATTCTAAATATTGGCAGAAAAATTTACCGCGCCACGAGTTCTCCGACTTTAAACAAAAAATCCAATTGAAACCGAAAATTCATTTTATTATTTATTACGATTGTTTAGTCAATTTACCAGTATAGTATAGAAATATATCAAAAGATTCGATTTAAAAGTAAAAGGATTTAATTTAATTACATTGCATGTGTCGCGAGGAGCGCGCGCTCGAAGAGATAAAATGCAGGAAAAAAGTGTGGCTCGAAAAAAAAATGCAATTTTTTTTTTTCAATTTTTCACACTAAGACCAGAGAAATTCTCGTCACTCGATCGCGCGATTCGCCTCGCTAGCTCGCGCGAACTGACCGTCGCGTACCAACAATGCCTCCTATATATCTTTTGGTCTTTTTCGGCAGGCGCATGAAAATGCATGAGTAGGTAGCCTTGGCCCGTGTGCCTTCGCCTGTGTGTCGGGCACCGTACCGGTTACCCTGGAAACGGTATCGATTTCAACCCTCAGCTATGCAGTAGGAAACCAGCACCACACCATGGGGGTCTCTTCACCCTGAGTTTCGACGAGGCGCACGGAGCCCGTTTCGACAACCCGATTACAAGAGCCCCTCTGTCTCTCTTTTCCACCCTCGTTCCACCCCCACGCAATTGTTGCTTTTTCTCCATTTTTTTTTCTTCTAATCCTTTGAGAGTTTATTGTAGGATCCAGCAATAAACGCATTTATCCCCCCTATTTTTCTTTCTTCCTTTATCCGTCTCGATTGTGTTCGATTTAAAAGTTATTATTGGGGTGCGCCGCTGCAAACACCCCCACGATTCTCGTATATAGTGGACGATGAACTCGCGAATCTTCCTAATTACAAATGCGTTTATCGCGGCGAGAGCATGTCGGCACCGTTTGTATGTAATTGGGATATTTGGGCCGAAATTAGATCTCAATAGATTTGCTATGTAAGCAGTGATAGTGAGAATGCTAGATAAAAATAGGGGAATGATTCAAGTGAATGGGATAAAAAGATGTATACATAATTTTAAAAAGTCTAATAGCTAAAAAATATGACAGCTATATTACTTAGAAAATTGTGTTCGATTGTATGTAAAGATCTAAAGAATTTTCTTTAGACGAAATCTGTCAGAATAAACATAGAAAGTGAATATTGTAAAAAAATTTTTAAACAATCATTGTTAAAAATGATACGCGCAAATGCATTGTCAAGTACGACAAAGTAAGTGATAACTCAAGGTAGATGTAATTCGCGAAATTGAGGTGTTACGAGGAACTTGGATAGTTTGGGGTAGAGAGAGAAAGGAGAAAGATATCTAGTGCGTCGCGACGCAGTCGAAAGGGGCTGACAATCCTAAATGCATAGAATATTTTAACACAGAGTGCTTCGAGCTTAACGAAAAAAATATTTTGCAAATAGATCCTTGACAAATTCTCGACCGATTATTTTATTCGAATTTAGACTGACATTTCGCGCTTTTCACTGCATTTCTCGGCAAGCAAGAATGCTTGAATTTTCATCAAATTGTCGCAGAACATTTGTCATTTATTTAATACGAGAAATTCTCGTATCAAAAATCGCGTTATGTTTGAATCAATTCGTTTTCTTCTTATCAAGAATTTTCAATCAACACTTCGTTAATTTTTATTTACTATCCCTGAAATATTACACTGAATACTGTGCATATATACAAATAAATAAAAAATATTTGCAGGCAAACTGTTCGATTACAGAAAAAAAATTAGCTATTATAGCTAAATTTTATATAGCTGTATCTAAATTAAATACATAAAATTTAATTATCATACCTAAAATTATTTTACCTAAAATAGCTATTTTTCAGCTATAAAATTCTCCATTAAACTATAACTAAAAATATTAGTTACCATAATTAAAATTGAGGAATGATAACTTTTCAGATTGCAATTTAGACAGCTAAAATTTAGCTAAAATTGGCTAATTTTTTTCCGTGATAAATTCAAAATGTTTTCAAAATAGCTGTGAACTCTTGTTCAAAATATCTTTTCGAAAGTTAACATTAATTATGTTATACACCGAATGTTACAAGTTGATTGTACCATATAATTTAATTTCTAATTATAAACGAGATTTCATTTATTAACGACGTTAGAACGTTCTGTTATTTTTAGGTTGTATATTTTGTACAGTTCACATCTCTCGAAACAACACACGTGTACGTGTAAAATTTTAACTCATCAAAACCTGCATAAAATAAATCATTCATCTGACATGTGTTATCGATCAGATGAATACAAGCTGATAATAAGTTATACTAATAAACCCCATTATAACAAATAGAATGCTAAACCAAAAAATATGCAAATAGAATATCATATTTGGATAAAACATTGTCTCTTTTGCATTTGGCGCATAAAGTTAAAATAACGCAAATAGCATAAATAAATAAATATCAGGTCAACACACACACACACTCACACAGAGCGGAAGAAAATAATTCAACGATAGCAACAAGAAATATATATTAAAAATCATTGTGTTATAATAATATACTTCAGAGCCAATTGCTTCAAATTGAATATTTTCTGTTAATTATTTACACCACTCACAAGATATATGTGATTATACTTTTTAACGTTAACAATATCTTTTACTCTTCCTAAATCTTTGAAAAATCAAGAATAATCACAGAATCATTCATGTATGATGTATAAAATATTAACTATTATTAATATTAATCATATAGAAAAGCAGATGTTATTAATAAAAATAAGACTACAATACTGACGTGCTGTTGTATTGGCTAGAATGCTGTCAATGATTCTCACTCTTTTCTTCTTCAACCTCATACAAGCCGCAAACTTTGTTGGACGGTACGGCTTTATCTGAAACAACGTCATATTACATTTGAACTCATTGTTGCAAAAATGGCACATAATGAATGTTTTTGTTCCATCCGTTCTATTTTTAATTTATATCAACCGATAATTGTAATATGTATTATATATTTTAAAATTTATTATTATATCTCATTAATCTTTATTACATACAATAATTAATTTTAATAGAGGTTCTTCTCTTTCATCAAAATATTATTATTTTAACAAAATTTCCAAATTTTGACTCAAGACGCTGTCAAGCGAGATAAAGAGCTCATTTATTCAACATTCGATGGGATGCAATTTCATCGATCTCCTTTCGCTTCGCCGACAAGATGTAACAGCGTCTCTGCTCATCTAATATTTAGACGCGCCACGAGAATTATGCAAAAGCGACACAGTTGCTGCAAAAATATTCCTTTCTCCGTGAAAAATCATCTCTATTAATTTTTCTTTACTTTTCGGCAATAAATCGCGTGATAAATGAAGCAAAAGGATAAAAAAAAAAAATATATATATATTATTTAAAATATATTATTATTTAAAATGTTATATGTTTTATTTTAAAAAACCTCTTTATCATTATTTTATTACGTTAATCATATAATTGTCGGTGAACTTTTGCACTCAATTTGCGCTCTGCGCCGTTTCACATCTCGTCCAATCATATCCCGGCAAAGTTACGCTATTTCCGCAAATTTCAACGGAATTCGAGAGTTTTCACTTTTCATTCGTAAGAAAAAGTTACGTGAGATCCAACGTCATGTCTGCACGATCGACACTATTTTCTCACCGATTCAACGTGCGTTTCACAGAGTGTGTAACCTAGGACGGCACCGCAACACCCCAAAGACGGCTATTAGCTTATCAGCTGATCGAGCTGATAGCGGGAAAGCCCGCGCAACTCCGAAAATAAAATGCGAATCCCAATGGGATCTGCAAAACCGAGCTTCTGCGAGAGAACCATTTTGATAACGCCTCATAGATAGTGCAACAGTCCTCCCCATCCTCTCTTTTGCCGGTACATTAATTATTTCTGACTATTATCGAGAGCGTTGCACTAACAGAATTTATAATGCCGAGCGCCTATGTGTGGCATAAAATTTATAATAAAACAAATTTCAAAAAAATTTCACCGCACAAGTCGTTTGAATGAAAAGAAGAAAAACTAAAGTAAAAATTTTTATATTAATATTATGTATACCATCCTTGGAATTTTATATTAATGAATTTTATATTAAAAAAATTTATATTAATAATTATGAGACTCTAATAGAATGTAAGTATTGCGATACGGAAATAATAGGATCGAGTAAAAAAAAAAAAAACTTACCAATCATCTTGGGATATGGAAGATTCAGATGATTCATAATGTTGATGAACTCCTCGAGTGACTTGGATAGTCTGGGATTGAAAGTCTTCTCTTCGGCAACGGTGGTGACGGTTCTGCCGTTGTAATCATGTGCCGGATACAATCGATAATATTCCGGCAGACTCAATATCTTCTCATGAACGGATTTGTATAAGATCTCAGCAGATCCGCCCTGTACACAAATGGAGCGTTTCGAACCGAGAGCAATTATGTAATATGCCACAAAGTTATATTTGACATGCTAGACACGACATACTATACAAATATGATAATCCGAAGCGAAAACTATACGATCAAGCATAATAAACAAATGAAATAAATGTAAATTAAACACGAAAAAAATTAGCCACCTCAGCTAAATTTTAGCTATCCCTGTATTACAACCTGAAATTTAGTTATCACACGTCTAAATTTTATTAAAATATTATAAATATTAGCTAATATTTTTTAGCTGTAGAATTCTCTGTTAAATTATAGCCAAAAATATTAGTTACCTAAATTTTAGCTTTGGTTACTCATATTTTTAGCTATAGTTTAACAGAGAATTATATAGCTTAAATATTAGCTATCATACACAGAGAGAATTTCCTCTTAGAATTTAATCTTGAAAATCATAATCGTGGAACAATATGGTATTGGAAGAATTTTATAAGAGTTTCTCCAATTAATATTTACCACAATATAAATAAAAATATTAATATGCACATATAGTAAATCGAACATATTTTATATCTTATTGTGATAGATTATTAATATTTTTATTGTGGTAAATATATTTTAACCAGAGAAACATTTATAATATTCCAAGAGAAAATTATCTCTGCGTATAGCTAAAATTTAGGCATAATAACTAAATTTCAGGTGTAATATAGGGACAGCTAAAATTTAGCTATGGTATAGTTAATTTTTGCTTTCCGTGAATAACTAATATATGCATAATGTTTCAAATTAATATATGCATAATGTGTCAAATTAATTTAATCAATAAAGATGCTTCCGGACGTTGATCTCGATAAATTTTGCGCACAAATCATTTTCGTGTATCTATAAAATTAGAATTGATAGGGCTGAAATCAATTTCGATCTCTGTCAAGTCACTGTCAAGCGGTGAAATTGGAATTGCTCTAATTTGAAATATGTCACGAGCGAAAAAATAATTTTTCTCAGTTATCCCGTGTTAAAAGGTTGTTTAATCGAGCTTTCAAGGAAGAAAAAAGTCGGGGCGCGCGTTTATAAAATGCGCCAGCACGTGGTGGTCGAACGCGATGACGGACGGCTATTCATCACACGAGTTGCGGAGAAGAAGTCTTTCATATTCCGGTTGATATATCGACGTTTACTTGTGCTACATGCGGAACGGAGGGAAAATGTTATTGCGCGCGGCCGTCGACGTTTCGACGAGAATTCAGGATGCTATGCCACGTCGTCCGTGTCTGTTCCAGGTCGGCATCGATCGTCGATTAGTTATGACGTACAAATAAACGCCATTTATCGACATCCGACAATTATATCGGCGACAAATCGCGGATGATATTTCCGCATGAAAAAGGAAGCGTTTTCGTTTTGATTAAGCGATGACGATGACGATCGATTATTTATTGAAAGAGATGCAGTTGCAACGTCTCGATGGAAATTAATGAATGCACGAACTGATAAATCTGTCAGATTTGAAAAAAATTGTATAAAGTGCAATCTGTCGTTTGTATTATCGCATTTTCAGACATTTATTTTTGTTTTTTTTTTTGACCAATTTTACAGTTTATTTTTCTTTGAAATATTTTAATCGCACATTTTTGTCAAAATCTAATTTCCTTAAAATTACAATATTAAAATTCTCTAATAATAATTAAAATTTCAATAAACGTTAAGTCAATAAAAAATCTAATTAAAATAAAGTTTGTAGATAAAAGTAATAGGTGAAGAGTAGAATCATGTTATTTTCTTATTTTTGCTGAGAAAAATCCTAAATTAATCAAAGAATGAGAAAAATTGCGATAATTTCAACATGCTCTGTATTTGTCAAGTGTCGCTGATTAAAAGTTGCAAACAGAATAAGAACATGCATACAATATTAACATGCAAGAGATTGCACATTCTCCGCAGGAAAGGGTGAATTTTAACTTTATGAGGAAACTTCGTAGAGCCATTCTCACACCACACATTTAACACTAACATAGCCACCAAATTGTAAGTTTCATTTGCTGATTACTTTTTATTTATGACTAGAGATTCCGCGACAAAAACCAACAACTGTCAAATGAAATAGCGGCATAATTTAATAATGATATAGATTAAGAGACATTTGAGAAAAATATGCTCCATCTTTCTCATATATTACAAATGTGTGGATGACTTCTTTTGTATATTATTTTACACAAAAAATTATCATAATAAAGTAACTGAATTTAATATCAAATATTTTATATAAATCGTAAATTTCTCAAAAGAAGAATATGACTTACATAAAATTACACGCGATTTCACGGAAAACAAAAATTAACTACTGTAACTAAATTTTCTCTATATTACATATGAAATTTAGTTATCATCTGATATTTTTTAACTACAGAATTAAAATATTAGTTATTATAGATAACTAATATTTTATAGTTTAACGGAGAATTCTATAGTTAAAAATATTAGCTATCATAGCTAGACATGATAATTAAAATAATTTGTAACAGCTCTTTAGAAAATTTTAATCTACAAATAAAAAGGCAATAAGAGCTACATAAGTTCTATACTAGAATTATATTTGTGAAAAGATTTATAACATAAATTATTAAATATTATACAGAAGTAAGCTCGATTCGTCGCTATGATAATTAAATTTCAGGTTGTGATACAGGAACAGCTAAAATTTAGCTACGGTGGCTAATTTTTGTTGTCCGTGTTAAAGACGCGGTTTAAAGATGGAAGGAAACTGACGTGTACTCGCGAAGATGCGCAACTTTTCCGGTGGATTTTCCGGTCAGACTTACTTGAAAATCAGTTCTGCCACATCCTCGTATCAAGAGTGCATCCCCCGTAAACGCGATTGCCTGCTCATCGCAAATGTACGTGACGCAACCTGCACAAGTATCAGATGGAATATTTACGATATCATGCTTCACTTCACGCGACCGCCATCCAGCAAGCATGCTGCGTCGTTTTTGGAACAGAATATATGTATGTATATATCTATCTTTTCGCGGCGATTCGCTTCGTAATCGGCCGGTACGATAAATTGAGTTCTCGTTCGTCAGCTCGTTCATCCTATTTGCGATATTGCGTTTGGGGAAAAAAAAAGAAGAGGAAAAAAGAAAGAGAATTGCGAACAGATATATTACACTCGCTCGAAAAATGTTGAATGAGACGAATAGTTATACCCAACACAGAAACCATGATTTATATCCCGAGGAACGTAAAAACGGATATAAATGAGATAAAGTGAGATATGATCGTAACACTTGCATTAAATGGATACAAGTGAGTTTCCAATGATAAAATTACAATAGCCATTTTCTCTTAATAGCTCTGTGAATTAATATTCGTCACTGTGGTAATAATTTTATAATAAGCATAATGTGATATTTCAATTTCACGGTAAGAGAGTTTTTATGTGAATCGTATTGTTCTTCCGACGTGACATAACTCTAAAATAATTAATATGTCAATATTTTAATCAAAAATAATGACATTAAAAATTACGCAATCATTCTGAATTTAATTGTTGAATAATAGATTTTTAGAACATTTTGTGTATCGGTGTATAAAATCGTTTATATATTCGATATGCTCTAATTCTACTAATATATGCTTTGTAAAATATTTGTTGATTTTTTGTTCTCGTATAATAAATGTAGAGTTTACCACAAAAGGATGGAAATATCTAAGAATTTAATTCAGCGAATGAGTTAGCATCGCGTTAGTTTTACTTTTTTAGTGTTTTGGGAATGAAACTGGTATCAAATATTTAACCCATAGGTATTTAATGCGCGCTATTCACGTATTCGGTAAGAAAAATCGAGTCTATCGAGCAAATCCGATATCGAGATAGCTTAGACGCCTTCAGGATTTCCTCTGGACAAACGATTGAGCCACGACGAGTAGCAAATCTGGCACAATCGATAAGAACCCTATTTTTTTTCGTCCCATTCCACCGTATAAACTCCAATAGTAATGTACTACGCGTGTACATAAAGTGTCCCAAAACTATCGAATGTAAAGTTAGAGACTAAAGTAGGAAAAAGACTGTTTAATGCCAAAGAGTTAATTTTTCAGCTGGATAAAGTTTCGTGAGTCTGTTTCAAAGCTGAGCTAATATAATTATAAAAAATCTGTTTTTCATTTCATAAAAAAATAAAGTTTAAGGAGAATCTAATTTATCTAAATTAATTAACTTTTAATTAATTAAATTTTAAGATTATTTTATAATTATGACATTATACTCATTTAAAAATATGTTAAAAAGCCAGGACGGAATAATATTCTATCATCTTTTTTTTCATTAAAAAGAAATTAAAAAGAAATATACGACTTCCTATAATAAGTAATAAAATCATCTCGGCCCGAGGAAACATTTTCTTAATAATAACAAAAAATATTAATAGCTATAAATATGTGTGTCAAAAAAACTATTAAAATAATGACACCTACAATATTTTCTGGACAAAGAACAATTCGAGTTAATTACTCCAGGGACACTATATTTTATACGCAACACGCGTATGAAATTCAGAATGAGACGTAACACATTTCCTTCTGAGCATGCGAAGATAATAACAGAGAAGAGATAAGAATATGAGACAATTTAGACAAAGTTGAAATACTAAGATCAAATTTTAATTTTCTTTGGAGAATATTTTCAATGTTTAAAAAATTTAGAACAGTTATATTTTATCGTTTGTGTGTATATGCGAATGTAAAAATATAAATAAACATAAAAGAATAAGCTAATACAATATTAAAAATTACGATAATAACGCAAATCTCCACATCCATAAATATATTTAATATCAGTTTTTCAAAAGAGTCTACTGGAATTAAAAATCATAATCAAAATAAATATTGTCCACATTTCTATCTCTTTCTCTTTGCGTCTTCATTAAATATTCGTATTCCACGTGTTAGATTATTGAATTTACGGCATATTTTTAAATGCTGAATTTTTAACTTCGTTTTCTAAATGTACTCAAGAAAGACGCGCATTATATCCTTGATCTTTTCAATCCATGTATAAAATAGCGCCACCTCTCACCGTTTTCACAAGAAAGTATTTCGCCATTTTTCTCGGCATCTCAATTAATAAAATAATAGACCGGGCGAACGCGATCGATCGCGCAAGAAATGCAACCCGATAGGATTGTGAATATATCTGTAACTTATCACATTATAATTTCGAGACTTTCGACTGCGCGACATGAAAATTACATTCTGTATTCATCGCGCGAATGCAGCGAACACATTAAAAAATGCATTAAACTAGATTATTAAATGCATTACAAAGATTTAAAATGTAATATATATATATATATATATATAAAATATGTGAAAAAGAATATAATACATATGCATAATGTCAAAGCACACAATATAAAATGTGTAATAAAAAGCATCAAAAAGAAAAGATATTAAAAAATAATGGGTATTTTTCATAAATATAAAATTGCTTTTCCTAAATAAAAAATAAAACCGAGGCTCAATATATCAATTATTAAAAAATATATCAAAGAGCATACAGTAATTCCAAAAATGGAAAAGATAAAAAAGGAGACAGAGAAAAAATACAAATATTCATTTTTCATTTAGACTCGACAAGACAACAACATATATCATGTATGTTTATCGTAACGCGAAATAACTCACAGAGCATGTCGAGAAAATGCTGAAAATCCACGTATGTATCAAATATGATACACTATGCACTTAGCCCTTTATAGAGCAGCACTGTTTTACCACACCATGTAGCTGACACATGGGCGATGGTAAAATGCTGGCTAAATGGGGACTGGTATAATATTTTACTAAAAAAGATAAAAACAGAAGCTACAATCGCGATTTTTCTGACAAGAAAAATCATATATTTCTTTGATAATATAACTGTAATTAAGCGTATCGTTTTTCGTACGAGTTATTATCGAAATAAATATATCTCTCATCTTAAAGATCAAGAAGTTCCAAAATAAAACCGTAAGCAAAGTGTCTCGCGAGGTATTTAAAGCGTCACGTAAGACATTAAATAATAATTGTTTCAAAATACTGATTCTCGCACAAACTCAGACTGCAATTTCCACACACACACATTTATATATATCAGTTTACTTTAATATAAATATCGATTTATCCCTAAATTCTTGACGTTATTTAAGCTGCCAGACGTTCCGCATTAATTTTTCAAATATTTGTTCAATTAGTGAACAATTAGAAAACCAGGAGTCTGACCTTCTGTGTGGCCTGGTGTAGGCAGCACTTTCAACTGGTGTCTGCCAAATTCGACATGGTCGTACGGTTCCAGGAGTACGTCCGCTTCGGCACCGCTGCTGCGCGATATCATGGATTTGCAATCGGGCAATAACGACTTCAGTCGACCCGTCCCAGTGATGTGGTCCGCATGCACGTGTGTGTTGACTGCAACAATGAGAAAGATTGTCATGTAGCAAAGACGCTAGTCATTGTTACCGGTAAATGCATAATCGATAAGCATTGCCGAGTTCGCCCGATGCATCATACTTCCGTAATGCGCTATGGAAAATGTCCCAGAAGCAACGAATATTCTTTTCAATGAGAAAAATGCTTGACGTTACGCTGGCTCAACGTACGATAACATAAGAAAATTGAAAAAGATATTTTGATGTAAATATTAATGTATTAATCGCGGAAAAAATATTAGTTATACTACAGCTAAATTTTAGCTGTTCCTATATTACACATGAAATTTAATCATCATGTCTAAATTTTAGCTATAATAGCTAATATTTTTTAGGTATAAAATTCTTCATAGCTAAAAAATATTAGTTACCATAGCTAAAATTTAGGCATAATAATTAAATTTCAGGTTGTAATAGGAACAGCTAAAATTTAGCTATAATGGGCTAACTTTTTTCCTGTGATTAATTACAGAATTAATGAAAAGATATATAATTTTTCGGAAAACTTCGATGTTAATCGAAAAATCTGAACTCACTGTTGGAAACCTTTTAGAATATTTTACATATCACTCTTAAATATCCATATAAATGTGTAGATACAAATAACTATTAATTTAATTAGTTACCTCGCTCTTTATACGAAATTGAATTACGAATAATTCGCGTAGTTTTACGAAAGTTGAGCAGTATTAATGGTGGATGCATTATTGGAAAATAGAGAGAGCGAGAGAGAAAGAGGGAGAAATGCATTATGGAAATGTTCGTTTGTTCGAGACGGAATTGACATATACAGAATTTCGCATAAACAAATGCATATGTTCCACTTAGCTAAAGCAATCTCTCGCAAAAACCACTTCGCGGTCTGATAGTACAATAAGTAATATAATAATTCTATCAACCCTGATGTACGACATAGTGTTCTGTTCCTTCTTGTCGAAAATCCTTCGTTATTAAGGTCACAAATTTCAACTGAAAAGGACTAATATTCCTCGCGCGAGTATATGCATTTTTTGGAGAGAGAGAGAGAAGAATCTAATTAATAATAATTAAAAATTAAAATGTTAAAAGAAAAAAACTTTGTGTTTATCTCTATGCAATAAAAATGACACGTCTTCTGTGTTTAAATTTTAAAATATTGCGTTTTAATAGCACGAATTTAATTATGTAATTTGCACATATATTTTCAAAATTCAATAAAAAAAATCTTGCAATAAAAATGACTGTCACAATTTTTTCTTTGTCATGACGTTTGAAATAATTTTCTTGTACCCTTTTCTTCATTGTAATTTTTAATAATAAATATTTCTTTAATTGCAACCTAATTTTAAAGAGGTATACTGCATTAAATAAACAAAAAGTACTTTCAGAGAGAAAGCGAAAGATGGTTAAACTTCATTAATTTCCATGCAGATCCGCTCGCACGCGCGATAAGCACGATTTGCCGATGAAATAATGCTTTCGTCGCGCGATACTCCAAATTATACAACAAAATCGAATCGGATCGGATCGCATCCAAAGTCGAAGTTCTTTATCGAAATTGGTAAAGTTCAACGATATGCTTGGATACACTCTCGTCGGGTTTATGGTCCACGACCCCGTGTTAACCTCCGGAACAATGGCAAAACTATGCGCGACCGTCCTTAGCAGCGTGGCGGGATTGCATGCCAATTCATTATGAAGTTCGGCAAATATTGGTCGGTTAGTAGGATAGTTTGCAATATAATTCTGCACTCGGCTCGTAAATCACAGCGCGTGGCATGGTGTAATTGCCGACAAGTACATTTCCGATGAACAAGTTACGACGATAGTAAGGTAATACGTTTTCTTGTTAAGTGGAGTATATTTAATTAATTAATTTGATCCATTCCAAGCGTTTTAAAACGTCAATAATTTTAGAATGTGACATTTGTCATATTGGAATATAATCGATTTTGCTGAATGTTAATATTAAATATCTCCCGACATTATTACACGCATCGTGCGTATAAAAAAATTATTAATAATTTTTAAGCGCTGTAATTTCAATCTATATTATTAAAAAATTTATTCAAATTTTAAAATTGCATCAAATTTCATGAGATTTAAAAACAGGAAGAAATTGAAAATATTCGAAGAGAGATTATAATAATAAATATATAATATATCCTTGTATCAATTTGATATTTTGTGAGTTATAAACGTGCAACATTGCAAAAATAAATGTCAATATGCAAAGTTTAACATATGACTTATGTAGATTTCTCCAAAATTGCATGTAAATATGATTAAAGAAAATTTGTTATTTCTTATATTGTCTTAATAATAATGCGCCTGAATATTTGATTTCTTCAAAATTATAGAAAAGTGACACAACTTGATTTTCGAAAGAAAATACGTATACGAAAAAAATGTTAAAAGCGCATTATATTAACATGTATTATTTCGCTTCAATATAATTCTCTAATGAAATTACATCTCTGAATGATTGACACAAAATCGATATCTCTTCTCTAACAGTTTCTGTATGCATCACAATTTCGTGAAATTTCTAAAGTTCAGCAAATTGTTATTACTTCGCGTGCAATCTATAATTGGAAAATATATAATCTTGATTGAATAGAATTAGATGATACGAAAAATTGTATGTGATTCTTCCGCATATGTATGTGTGCGTATGTATACGTTTCTCCCACACATCGATTTCCCATTATTTCTCACAAACAACGATATTTATGAGATATGATCTATGTTGGATAACAACTTACGGGCGTATTTTAACGTTAATCCCAGCTCCTCGATGATTTTTTTATCACGTTCAACCCATTCGACAACTGGATCGATTAAAATTGCTTCTTTATCGTTGGTATCAGCCAGCAGATATGTGTACGTACTCGATATTGAATCGAAAAACTGAAATTTCAATAATTATTTATTATGTTTCAGCAATATAATGCGGATATGCAATAAAATTACATTGCAAATAATAAATTTTCGTTTATAATATATTATCTTTCCTAATTATATCTTCAATAATTATGTTATTCCAAATAAAATTAAATGTATATACACATTAAAAAATATTGACTAATTTAACAAATTCATGTAATAAAATAAAATGAAGTAATATATTATAAATCTCTTATCATGTTGCATAAAATATGACAATAAGGCACAGAGAAGGTCAAAAACTTTTAAGGAATACTTTTCGATTATATTTACTGCACAAAATGTTTTCCACAACTCTTTCTAGACACATCAGACAAAAATATGAAAGATAAGATAATTAATTTAATGCAAAACGTTTAAGTACATTTGACAGTATTTAGCAAAATATATTTTAAATCTCTCTTATATCATATATTTAATCTGTTCTGACTGTTGATATTAACTATGACTTTTATACATTAATGCGTGCAAAATAATTAATGATAATTTTGAAAATGTGCTCGAAACCATTACCATAAAATATAAAATATTTTTTTTATATTTTGTCCAACATTAATACGCAATATTCACTAATCCTGTCAGCAATATGTTTTTTGGAATAATTTAGATATAAAATATATTTCTCTTTTTATTTAAATATTTCACATTTACATTATCATACACAACTCTAAATTTTTTTTTGAATAAAAATAAAATTTATTTTATTAAATAAATAAATTCGTATAACAAAAAAAATGTAATAGCATAATATTTTTCTATCCAAACTTTTGTGTTAAATCAATATACATTTATAGGGATTCATTGCTAAAATAAGAATGGATTAATTTCATTCGACAGTTTGCAAATATAAATTGTCGTTATTTAACATTACATAATTGATTACCTTAATGTTACACTTTTTAAAAATATATATAACTTTGTTGTGTGCTGTATAGAAACTGAAAAAGTTTTAAAAATAATAGTAAATATTTTGCTTTTTATATCTCAAGATGAATTTGGAACCAATTATCTTTTGGTCGACAAATCCAATTTCCGTTCAAACTATATTTCAAATGTTATAATTATAAATGGAAAAATACTGTATCACACAAAGACATGCATTCATTAAAAAAAAATGTGTCCCATATTTGTTCACACAGCATATTGCAGAAACAATACAGGAAAACATGGTATCAAAACATTATATATAAAATTAAGGTCGAGTTGAAAAAAACGAGTGTAACTCGTATTCATCTAATAGACAAAAATAAACTTATGTATATATGTATATTGTATATATAACTATAAAATATATAAAAGATATTTCAAAAACATTTTTATTTAATAATATCTTTCGGCATTTTTGTTATGGAACAATCTATTTCAAATTCGCAGATGTAAAAAAAAATGTTTTTAAGAAATTTAATTAATCTGAAACATCATATATGTATATATAAATTTTACATTAAAATCATAATCAAAATTAATTTTTAAATTTAACATTTGATATATTTAAGCTTATTGAGAAAAACTACTAGATACATACATATATTTTTACACTTGTAATACTTTCTTTTCTCTTTATTCTATTCGAAATCCTGTACTGTTGTTTGTTTTGCATACAGCATAAAAACATCTACTTTATTTTATATAAATGCAGCTAAAAGGAACAGAATTTAAATATGCTCTTTTTAGTTACACTTTTCTATAACTCCTAACATAAATATCAATTTTATTTTAAATACAGCTAAAAGAAATATTTGCTTTATATCTATTCTTTTCATTCTTTTATGATGTTTTCTTGTATATTTTGTTCTTTTTTTTATTTGAACATTTTTAATATATAAATATGTGAAAAATATTGTGTTATTTTATTAGGATATACTATTATAAATTACATCCATTAAATTTTTATTTTATTTCAACACTTTGAATATAATATGAAGATGTGAAAAATATTATATTACATCGATTAATTTTTCATCTGAAACATTTCAAGATATGATACTTTGAAAAATATGTAAAAAAATAAAAATTAAGCAAGAAAGAGATACATAATTCTTTAATTTGACAATCTTTCATCTTTCTCATATACATATATATATATATAGATAATAAAATATGAAAAAATGCAACCAGTCTGACGTTGAGTGCTTTCCATTTTGAGGAAAAACTTGTAGAATAATCGACAAAATTTCCAACGTCTATATTATGTAATTAGTATTGTGCTTAGATGATATTCAAATTAGCTAGATAAAGATGAGATAAAAGTATATAAATTCATCTTAGATAAGATAATTCTGTTTTAAATATATCTAGATAAAAGATAAAATTATATGGCGATTCATCTAGAAAATAAGATTATTTTAAGACCACTTATATACAAACACATAGTTATAAAAAATGTAAATTTAAGGGATATAAAAATATATTCATACTTTAATTTGTGTGTGTGTGTAAGTATCTTTTAGATAATAAAAATGTATTATATGTACATATATCTTTAGTACATAAAAATACTTAAATAGTAGAACTTAAGCAGTAGGTGATAAACATTTATAAATAAAAGCATGAATACATATATTTTTATATCCCTATTGTAATTAACATTTTTTAAACTAATAACTGTGTTTACGTAAGTAGTCTTAAAAATTATTATCTAGAAAATTATTTAGATAAATCGCTATATAAGTCTATCTGTTATCTAGATATATTTTAAACAAAATCTATATTTAAACAAAATAAATGTAATTGATCGATTTGCTTGCGACTTTGCGATTACCATTTAGTAAGTTACTATAACTATTTTTACTGTTGTATATAAAGGTCATTCATACATTAATGGTAATTGCAAAGTCGCAAGCAAATCGATCAATATTACATTCAAGAATTTTTTTAAATACCTGCCTGTAATTGTGCATAAAATGTAAGCCCCTTATATTTAAAACAATGTATAATTATTTTTAAAAAGTAACGACTCGTTACTTTTAGAGTAACTGTAACTGTAACGAGTTATTTTTTAAAATCGGTAACTTGTAACTGTAACTATAATAACGTTTTCAATGAAATAACTGTAACTGTAACTATAATTACTTTTACAAAGTAACTTTCCCAACCCTGTAAATAAATCATCTAAGCACAGCGCTGTCTATATATTGTAATTTTATTTAATACAGCAAACACTATGTAATAGAAAATAAATAATGCTGTTGATTAATCAACGACGGATCGATAAATTCGCTCCAAATGACCATAGGAGTCAGCTCGCTCATCAGCTGAACGGAAAGCGCTCATTGCCGCGTTGCGAGTGCTAGCGAGCGCCCGAAAGATGACGGAGGCTCTCGCAGCATGCGTAGATCGTCCGAAGAACATTACCTGGCGGAAGAGAAAATCCCTCGAAAGCGGCACTTGCTCCGTCAGAGCGTCGACCATGCTGCGACTCTTCACCGTTACGATCCTCCGGGAAGTGAATACTTGGCAGAGATTGCGAATCATCTCGATTCCTGTCTCCGTTTATACGAACGTGTTCACTGATTGATTTATTATGCCACGATGACGATGACTACTCCGTTGAGCAATATTATGCAATATGCGCGGGAGATAAAGCTACTTTCTGCAGGGCTGCGTAATCTCTCCTTCGAACCGGTTTTTTCCCGCGACCCGAGAATGACCGAATAAAAATTATTTGTGCACGCAACGAACCTGGCTTTAATACATAGGCCGTACGTCATCGAGCGATGTGATCTGTTGCTAATGTCAGACGCGCTATTTCGGGACGAAAGTCGTCCATCTCGAGAACTTGCATAATCCCAGGCTGTTCTCCCTCCTTCGAGGTTACGCTCTTTCCGGTTAGCATTCTTGCCAAGGTGTGTTGTAGTTGACAGTTTCTGACGAATTAAATTGTTTCTAGCGAGCAAGCGCCTAGAAATTGTATGCATTTTGTTTTATGATTTTTACGGTTTTGATTGGTTATTGAAATGTCAAAGTTGAAACGTTCGGAACATTAATTTGTTTATCCACGTTGCAAGCGTGTACATATGTCATTTTACATGTGTTGATTATTTTTTATTAATTGAGATTTTTTTTTTAATATAGATGCCCTCCGTAACTTTAAAGGACGTGGATCAGCAAAAATTTGTGAAGGCTTTCGCAGCTTTCCTCAAAAAGTGAGTAAGAAAGTTAACTCAAATTTAACCTAAATCACGCATGAAAGCTACTATCTAATATTATAATATTACATATTATTACATTATACGTATATATCTTTTATGAAATATACATAGCTTCTTATAAAACTCTCATTCATAATATTGCTACCGTGATAATACATAAAATTTACTAAGAGATATTTTATAATTTTACCTTGTACTTTGTAGGACTGGCAAAATGCGTGTGCCAGAATGGGTAGATATTGTAAAAACAGCCAAATTCAAGGAACTGGCTCCTTACGATCCTGATTGGTATTACATCAGATGCGCAGCCCTGGTGCGTCACATTTATATTCGTAGCCCAATTGGAGTCGGTGCTGTTACAAAGATCTTTGGTGGACGTAAACGCAATGGCACCCATCCCAGCCACTTTTGCCGATCAGCAGGTGGTGTTGCACGCAAGGCACTCCAAAGCCTGGAGCAGCTGAAGCTGATCGAGAAGGCACCTGTTGGAGGACGTAAACTGACTAGTCAGGGACGCAGGGATTTGGATCGGATAGCTGCACAGGTTAAAGCTAAGAGCAAGAAACAGCTCAAGCTTCAAGAAATTGTACTTTAATATCGCTTCATGTTTTTATAATAAAATAGAAAACATGTAAACCTGTGAACTCTTTTAAAGTGTATTTAACAGTATATATAATATAATTTTAGTCTTATGATTAAGGTCATATTTTTGCCAAATTATTCAAATTTGCAATGTTATTTTCAATTTATATTCATATATTATATATCTGTTAATATATTTTATATATATGTATATTTATTGTAATATAAATATATATATTTCTTTCAAGAATAATTTACTGTTACAAAGAGTTTTGTTATAAAAATAGTTTCTAAAAAATTTAACAAAATTAATATTTCATTTCTGTACATGTATCTATGTATTCACAAATCAAATATCAATTTTGTATATGTATCTATGTATTCAGAAATCAAATATTAATTTTGTTAGCTTTTAAAAAACTATAACAAAACTCTTTACAATAGTAAATTATTTTTGAAGGAATCCAGAAATATCCATATATAATTAGAAAAAATATTTTTACAACAAAACTGGCAGTAAAATATTTTCGAAAGGACACATATATATTCAAAAAAATCAAATATTAATTTTCTTAGATTTCTTAACAAATCTGCAAAATGATGCCAGTAAATTATTTATTTTTTCTGAATTGACTAAATGTATATATATTCAGAAATCAAATATTAGTTTCGTTAACTTTTTAAAAAACTATTTTTATAACGAAACTGTACGACAGTAAATTATTTTTGAAGGAATCTAGAAATATCTATATATAATTAGACAAAATATTTTTCCAACAAAACTGACAGTAAAATATATCGAAAGGATATATATACAATAAAAAAACGATCAAAATTAATTTTATTAGGTACCTCAACAAACCTGCCAAATTATGCGAGTAAATTACTTCCAAAAGATTTTGACTGAATTGCCTAAAAAAATCTTTCTCTCGCAGCCATATTAATATCGCAGATCTCGGAATCGATACCTCGAACTCGACGCTCCGTCGACATCGAGTCGCCGCTCTATGTGTCACCCTACTCCGTGACGTAAGCTTCGTGGTCGCGCGCGCGTCGGCAGCGCCGCCTCAGTGAAACTTCGGCCGCAGTCGCGAGCGTTTCGGCGGTACTCGGGAGCCGAGCGAATCAGTAGCTGATGCGCGATTTGACGCGAGATTGGCGTACGAAGGGAGCATCTCGCGGGCACAGCTGCGTATGCGCGCGCGCGCGAGTGTGTTTTTGTGTTTGTGTGCATCGTAGAGTGCGTATATACGTGTGTTAAATTGTACCATCGCGGTCGCTCCGTTCCACGGTTGATATGTTCATGGACGTACGCGTGGTGAGCCGCGCTCTTCCTCGAGAGCTGCATCCGTCATCCATGTATCCGCGCGACGATTATTGGTAGCTCGCCGCTACCATGTCGCGAAAATAATCGCGCCGGTCTCTCGCGAAGTGCGCGTCGTCTTGTCTCTCTCTCCCTCCCTCTTTCTCTATCTTCTTTATCTGCGCGAAATCTGGAGAGGTAGTGGCCGGATACACCGCTGCTCGAACCTTTCCTCGTTTCCCTGTCATTCGCATTCCTATCTATTTTCCTCTCCTTCTCTCTCTATATTCTATACACTCCCCGTCTTTCTCTCTCGCTCCTAGTCACACCGGGGCGACATTTCTACGGCGCGGAGAGACAAGGAAAGTGGACGACCAGGGTGAAGTGAGCGGCGGAGTGTCAAGTGCCGCGCGAAAATTCTCAACGACGAGGAGAACGAGGAGGAAGCCTCGGTTGCAGCTGGGCGTTGGGGTGCAACTGACAGCAACTGACAGAAGAGGAGGAGAGAGATAGAAGATGCCGGGCCTAATCGCCGTGAGCGAGTTCGTCGAGGAGACGAGGGAGGACTATAACTCGCCCACCACGTCCACTTTCGTCTCGCGGATGCCACAGTGCAGGCAGACCATCACGTCCCTCGAGGAGGTGAGTGGATGCACTAGTTTCTCCCTTGGGTAATACTCGGTCGTTCCCCCATAAATATTAATTAAAATTTACTGCGAAGCTCTTAACTCTCTGACCCTGTCTCTCTCCTTATCTCGATCTCCTATCTTGCAAAAGTGACGAGCGAGAATCGCTTCGAGTAAATTATTCTTCGAATTATTGTTTCATAAAATTAATTAATAATTAGGAGAACGACCGATATTTTACTCGTTTCAATTTATTTTTATATGCGTGATTTTTGCTCCTATATTTTTTAATATGTGAAGAATACGTTTTTCGAGAGAGAGAGAATCTCTCTCTCTCTCTCTTTATCTATCTTTATTCGCCTCGTATTGATGAATCCTTGTCCCCGCTCTCTCTCTCTCTCGTTCTCTGTGTCAACGTTAACCATACCGGGTCACGCGCGTGTTTTCCCGTACGTGGGCGTGTATATCTATCGCACAGTTGTGCGTCCTCGCTCAGTTTACGGATATTTATCGATAATTACGATAATTCAGACGACAGGCTGCACTGTAAAAAAATATATATAATATTACTAAAAAATAATGATAAGATCATTTCCAATATTTATCGTGTAATTTTACACTTAATTATTTATATAATTTTTATAATTATGATCATTCGTATACGACACTGTAAAAAAATATATAATATTTATATAAAAAATATATAAAATTACATAAATAATAAATGTAAAATTACACGATAATGAAATGGTACATTTTCATTATTCATCATGTAATTTTGCACTTATTATTTATATAATTTTACATATTTTTATGTAATATTTATTATATGTTTTTTTACGCTTAATATTTTTGCAATAACTTATATGAATTTGTTTTTGAGTAAAAATAAAATTCAGAAAACATAATAGTTCGCAAAGCATTAATATAATATTTATATTCACACATAAAATAAAATTAATTAAAATAAATTAAAAATATTATTCATATTTTTGATATTTTTGTATGTGTGTATTCAAAAAAATTAGTACTTTCTGCGCAAACTTTTATCTCTTTATGAAAATTATTACGCGAAGAAATCAGGCTGGGATCGATTAAAATATATTAATTATACAAAAAATATATTAATTATACATTTTATACGCGCATATAATTTTTATTCGCATTTAATCGCTCTATTTTGATGCACTTTGATATAAACATTTTTAGGGGGAGAAAGGGTGATAAATTTTATTACCTTTAACGCTTTAAATATGTAAAGATGATGCTAATACCGAGGTATTTAAACTACGAAGTAGTCGATGATGAGGCTATTATTATTATCTCGTCGCACGTGCTTTGAAATCCGATTTCCTTATACCAAGAACCTGACTGCGTTATCGCCTTGTATTCGCTGTTCGATGGCTCATTTCTCTAACGACGAAATATAAATGTTCTTATGTCCGATATGTCATCACTTTAGAACGCGAAATGTTAAAGCCGACTAAATTATCTTGTAAAGCATCTACAGCTTGACATAAAAATTATAATATTCAAAGAAATATTGTGTGGATACCACATTTTTCTACCGAGTCGTCAGCATCTTATACGACCGTCATTTCGTCAGCTGCTGACGCGATTATCGCTTCACGTTGACGCTGCCAATTTGCCGATGCGTGAATGACTATGATACCGTATCTCTGTCAAATAGAATCCAAATCCTAATAAGTCGCGTGTATCTTATGCTAACATAACAGGAATAAGAAGACTAATGCAAATATATTGAATCAATAAATCTGTTCTTAATTTTTTCATATATTAAAATAATATAATAGAATTTATTTAAATAGTAATATTTTAAATTATATAATATTTTGAATTTAATAGAAAAGAATCTCGGTGGCAAAAGTTACGTCAATAAAAATTTGACCTCAAAATATTTTATCCAAATTATTCTATCATTTAAATATTCATATATTAATTGCCGAATAATTGTTAGTAATTTATGTGTTGGAAACACATTTTATTTTAAAGGATATTGAAAATTATTCTGCATTATTTAATGCAAAATAAAATTGACATTTAGTGTTAATAAAAATATAGAAAGAATCCAATGATAAAAGTTTCATTACATAGTACATGAGAATTCTAGTTTTAATTTTATAACTGTTCTTATCGCACATGTTGCTCAAATACTTTTATAAAATACCGTATTATTCAATAATTCATGTGACCGATACATTTGCAATAATGGAATGTTAATTAAATTGCCATCAATATCGTATCTCGTCATTCAAATTAAAAAAAAATAATGAAAATATCTCTCAACAAAAAATGCTTTTTTTTACCGTCAATAATTACTTTTTTATATATTAAACATATATTATACATATATATTATATGTATATATACATATTTCAAAGAACATGAAAGAGAGAGAAAGAGAAAAAGAGATGAAGCCAAATAAAATTTTTATAAGATAATATTTCGCATAATTGCTATAGATAGATCGATCGCTCGTAGACTTTATATGTAACCTACAAAACTAGCAATCAAAAATAACGGCTTCTTTTTGCTCATCGACTATCATGTGATATTACTCAGCATTTTAAAAATTCCGTTTGTTCTCATATCTTTCTTCTGATACCTAATGAACAATACGTGACCTCAAATACCTAATGAGCAAGATCGTAAATTCTGAGAAAAAAACAGCACAATTCTTCATCAGGCAAACAACTAATTTGAACCAAATTTAGGCATATTGATCGAATCAATAAATTCAAGGACGGTTTTGCGGGCGAACTATTACGGGACTCTCGAGAGTTGTATATAATAATCTTATGGAAATTAATTTCTGATTAGGAGACAGTTTTGTGATTGTTTTTGAAAAACTTTTGTTACTGAGCATGAATTAGAATTAAATTATTCTGATTTCGATATTCTACAAAAATTGTAATTAAATATTAATTTCATTAATTTATTTAATCCGAGTATATGAAATTTAAATTAATTTTTTTAGAAGAAGAATAACAGGAAAAATATAAAGAAAAGATATAATTTTAAATGATAGAAAATGAGAAAAAGGTCTTAAAGGTTGAGTATTGAATTAAAAAAAACTATTTCAACTGTAAACAGATTCTTAAACAATCAATTTCATAGATATTCTCCTCTTTTAATATAATTTAATCTTTTAATATAATTCTCCTTATTTGATATAATTTAAATAGTGTTTGCGTTTTCTTTTGATTTATCACTTAGTTGAAACTTTATGACCGAGTTTCGCGAATCACGTATAATATTATTATGCGATCTCGGGATAAAAAATTATTCATCGACCAACGACAAAGGAGGCTTTGCCTTAATTCCGCTTGGAAAAGTATGTTCAATATCCACTTTGACGTGCCGGAATTTCCGGGTCATTCGTCCTCATCTCTTCCCGCAAGAAAGAGAAAGAAGAGGAGATGCATGTCGTTCACGTCTCCTTAACGATCCGAAGAATTTTCGCGAAGAGAAAATTCCACGAGAAGAGCATGTTCGTAGATCCGATTTCCTTCATGTCATCTTCTTGTTCTTCTTTTTCCTCGCCGAGAATTCTTTTCTCATCATCGTGACGATTTTATAATCGCTTTATAGCGGGAAAACGTTTCGCAATCGTAGACATATTCATAATCGTGAGATTAATTTTTGACCATTTTCTTGCATATTTAATTAGTGCTAATTTGAATCTTAATATTTTTTAAATATACGCAAACTTGCTTCTTAGCGAATATTTTAATTTTTAATTGTAAATGTTTAATTTTTAATATTTAATACTTAACTCTCAGTACTCAATCTTTAAGTTTTGACATTCAATATATCTTGACAGCTGTCAATTTAAAAAAATTTTAAAGTCTCAATTTTAAACTTACTATCATTTACACACAAATACAGTTAGCGATAAAAATTATGTAAATAAATAGTATATGATACTCGGCGCTTGCAAATTTAACAGTTAAATCATGCATATATTCTTTATATTCTTATGATTTATATATGAGTAGCTTAATTGACATACAGTAGTGTAAATAAAATTTCGAAATTATTATTAAGGTAAGTGAATCCCGTGTTTTATTCAAGTTTTCTCTCTTTTACTAGTGACGAAAATAGAACGCGACGGGTTTCAAAATAGTAACGCTCGAATTTCGTACAGACTGTGGTGTCATAAGTCCCAAGTGTTAAAGCGGGAAAGTGGGTAACTCGAAGACAATCAGGGTCAAGAGTATAGAGAATGAATGCGCCTCTAAAATTATTTAAACTTAAATAATGGAGGTTCAATATACATACAACAAGTTTGTTCGTCGAGCATAAAAGACATGTGCTATTTGTTGCTTTAGCAATATTCTCATGTAAATTATTTGCTTCGACGTATAATATATTTTATAACATTTTTTTTTTCTAGTAAAAAGATATACGTATAATATCGGAATTAATGTATACCTAATATCTATAAAAAAATATAATAACGTGCAAAAACAGAGTTGTCAACAAATTATCTCCAGAGGACCTTATTTATTTTTTTTTAAAGCAGAATATATTATGAAGAAAGAATTTAAATTGGCTTATTGTAAAAACAATACTACTCTTGACTCAAAATATTTTTAATTGAACGCGGTGTAGTGGTTTTGCAATTTCTTCTCGATAACGACTACGCGAAAGCAGCAACGACTTGCATCGCAAATGAGCGATTCTATTAACGCGGGATGATGTAAGAGTCATTCGGGCACTCGAAGGCGTCGAGGAGACTGGCAGGATCTATTACCTTGCATGCATTTGATTATCGGGCGAACGTTAACCGCTCGTAAGGACGACATTTTATGGTAAGAGCCATCAGACACTCGGGATTGTAGTTTGGCGAACGATCTAGGCCGATAGCGCAACATAATCAATTTCGGTCGTGAATACGAGCGGATTAAATTGCCTAATTCTGACTGAATTCAATTCTGACTTAATGGAGTGATAATAATGAAAAAAAATTATTACCATTATCCAGGGTTGGGT